GGGGGCGGGCGCAAACAACTTGTTGATCATTAATTGTCTTCTTTCTACTTTATTATCTCCAAAAGACATTACAGTATCAGAGCAAGGCAATGAGATGTATCTTGAAATGAGAGCACTTAGTGTGATAGTGAATAAACATGTACAAAAAAAAGGCTTTCTCTGGTTGTTGTTTTTTTTTCTGAGGTTTAAATAAAAAAAATGAAATGCATTGTGTGACGTGTCGGGTATTGATGAGTTTTTCCTGTGTGACCTGCTTCTGGCACTTTATCAGAAGTTTCACTACAGGTCATATCCCGGAAACAGCCCGCATCAGCTAAATGACTACCTGTGAATTTAAAATGAAAAACCGTAATCATGTTTTCAATACACACATTTCTATAGAAAGACAAATAAAAAAATAACTATAGTTCAACTTTTGAAAAAGAGCACTTCATATTTTCTGTTATGAGTTTGCTCGCTTCCTCTATTGTCAGTGAATGTTTTTGATTAAATCGGGCCCTTTGATCTACAAAGTGTTATAAAAAATGATTTATTAGTTAATTAAATTAAATGATTTTCAATAAGTCACATTTTAAACTCTGACGAGCCGGTGCATGAAAATGAGCAGCCCTAAAGGATGTGGTTGGGTGCGAGATGAGGAAGAAAGTGAAGAGGAAGGAGTGCACTTAACTCTGACAAGCTTCCTGCAAACAACTCGCTGAGTTACACAAACGTAGAAGAGACCGGAGTGCATTTGGATTATTTCAACCTCTCATTTTGGGAATGTGTAATGTTTCTGTGAAGATGCATTGAAGACGAAGACAAGATGGAAGTGGAGGAGACAGTTGAAACGAGGACTTCCTGGTATGATACCTTTTGACAGTCGCCTTTATCTGTGGTTTCAAATCTTAACCCGTTGATATTGTTCACTTACCTTTCTTTCAATGTCTTTTGATATAACGTAGCACATATCTGCCAAATAAGTAAAGTAGGCATATGACACTATGACTTACTCAGCTATTTAGTGTTGTGTGTTAGTGATGAGATGTATCTCAGGTAAAAGAAGGTAACTGAGTGGCTGTTTGGTTCTGCCCTTTTTTAAGGTCCACAGCACAAGGGGAGGCACACTCTATCCCCTGTGACCATGCCGGGGTAAGTCACCCAACATCTCATTCATTTTTTTAAGGCCATTATTTCATTCTAAACCCAGATGTGCACTCTTCTTAAAACCAATAATATTCATTTAACATACATTCCTGCTTGTATAGAAAAAGAGAAAACAAGACCCGGCACCTGGACCTGCGATCAGAATCAACGAGGTGAGGCATATCTGACACGCACCATTTAAACTGCCTCTTCTTCATCTTACATCTCTTCTGAAGTCTCTCTGTAGCGGAAGTTAGTCAACCTTACCTTTGTGACCACAATGCTGAGAGCTGACAGAGTTATGATTCAGAACATGTTCAGCTGTGCGGTTGAGAAGAGGAGGTTCTCTGAATTCCATTTAATGTTGATTATAGGACGTATGTTACATTTCAGCAACCGTTATTTTACTTTTTTTTATCAGAAGACCCTTTTGATGTAATCTTTATCTTGCATATCATAAGCACACAAAGAGATACATTCTTTACTGAAGGTATTTTAATACATCTCAGTCTGACACTTGAGTGAATTTACAGCTGATGTGGTTAGTGTGGCAAAAACAGGCAGACATCTTGTATTTACTATAGAAGCACAGCTTCAACCTTCTTCCTCTTTGAAAGAGTCACACAGGAAATGAGAGATCTGCACCATGCAACATCTCACCCCTCTTGAAATCTCTCTCCTTCCTGAACACCGTCATGTCTTTCTCAATTCACTTTGAGCCTTTGTGTGACCTGTTATGCATTATCAGGATGAAGAGGAAGATGAGGATGATGAGATGATGTCCGAGCACATGAGGGATTCAGAGGTAAGGTGTTCTTCCTGTGCAGGTGTCAGATGTGTGTTACGTGATTTTAAATTAATCTAATGTACAACCTGTAAAGGTTTGAATAATGGCACTGTGATAAGCTTGTGGACCATTTTGTCTAAATATTAAAAGCTGGAAATGTATGTTTTTAATGTTGATTTCACTTTAGGAGCCCAGTAATAAAAGGGTGAAACCTGTGGTGAAGTCAAATAGCCTAACAGGCGTCATAACCCCGGTGAAGACCCCTGCTCTGAAACGCATAGGACAGTCCATTTCGGTAACAATGCACAAACACATTCATATACCTGTTGTTATACAAAAACAAAAGCTAACGGTGTTAACGTTCACTGCTCTTTTCAACAGCGGTCTATTAGCTTTCGTACAGAGGCTCGACCTTTGCCCCCGGCTGCCATGCGCCCTCGCACAAAGGCCTCTTCTTTTCCACGCCGACGCAACAGCCAATGCTGGAGCGACACTGTGGAGAGCCATGACCTCACTGCAAAGGAGATCAAAAGACAAGAGGTGCGAAGGGCAGTGGGTTTGACCTTAGATCAGCTGCAGAAACTAAACTAGCACAGGTCTTATTATTGCAATGTTTTTGCGGGGTATGTGGGTCGCGCAGGGGAAATGGGGTTGCAGTGTGCCACTAGTGAGCCCTATATGAAGCAGCGCTACCCAACACGATGATTATGAAAGAGGATGTGAGCTGGCACTCCAGGCTCAACTTCCTTTTTAGAACAATCAGCTGTGAGATTTCATGCTGTCCGTCTGTAATTTCACATCACATGCAAGTGTGTGTTTGCATGTGTGAATTGTCTGTACTTACATCCACATGTTGGTTTTTCACGTGTGTTCTGCAGGTGATCTATGAGCTGACTCAGGGGGAGAGACAACTCATTGATGATCTCAGTCTGGTCAAGAAGGTACGTGAACACTAAATAAAAGCATATTTTACCCCTGGAATTATTACTATACAGGCCCTGACACAATATGTAAAGGGAAAGAAACTAGACAGACTAATAAGAGGTACGAGCCGCCCCCCCCCTTTGAAAAATGACCAGAAAAAATCTAAAACAGCTAAAAAGAAACACAAAATGATGAAAAGAGGCACTGAACCACTACAAAGAGATGACCACAAAGAAATTGCAAGGAGACACAAAACCACCACAAAGCATGTGTACGAGGCGCCTATAGGACCATTGAGTCATAATCCGCCCCTGCTATTACTTTATATCAGAACACATTCTGCTGATTTCACCCTTTGACAGGCTTTAGGCTGCTGCATTAACCCTCTCCTTTAGGTACTTTTGCTTACTGTTCTCTGTGTGATACAAGGTGTACTATGAACCCATGCTGAAGTTGGACATCCTGACAGAGAGTGAGCGTGGACAGATCTTTGGTACGCTGGACTCTCTCATTCCTCTCCATCAAGGTAAACCGTGTTTCTGCTTTGAACTCTCCATTATCAGCCTCTTAGTTTCCTAATCATGTATAAGGCATTCAGAGCTAAATACAAAATCTGGGTAAATATTGTCGCTTGTTGGATTTCATTGTTTCATTATTGTATCTGTTAACTTCACACCCTGTATATTCAAATATTATAGTTTTTCTTTCATAAAATGCATGACAGTGGACCAACACTGAATTGAACACTGTCACAATAGATTTAGCAAATAGGTCCCAGATGTCGACATACAGTACATTTTGTGAATGTGGTGACATTGATGTGTTGAAAAAGACCTACAAGAAAAGCCTCTAAAGGATTACTTTATTTAATTCAAGATGCCTGGCATAACTGAGTGAGAGATTGCTGATTATGCTTTTTTTGGCAAAGGAACATGAAGAAGTTTAATGTTCATCTCTCTCCGAGCTGTACTTACCCTGGTATTCATTTGGCAAATATCAATACAACAGTTTGAGTGTATTTTTATTTCCTACCAGATCTTCTGAGTCGCCTTGAGCGGCTGCGGGGATCAGAGAAGACAGTCGGGCAGGTGGGGCCTACTCTAATGGACTGGGTGAGTATTTCCATGGTTACCAAGGACTGATAGAGAATAAGAGAAAATGGCACAGCCTCCTTCACTCTCTCTAGTTCCTGTATTTACTCTATCATGTTCTTCTCTAAACCGGAGCCACAGAGTTCAGTCTGGCTTTTTAACTCACCGCACGTTTCTTCTCATTGCTCATCACACCTCCCCTCCTCCCCTCTTCCCCTCCTCCCCTCTTCCTCTCTGCAGTTTCCTTGCCTTGAGGCCTATGTTACGTACTGCTGTAACCAGGTGGGCGCTAAAGCCCTGTTGGACCAGAAGAAGCAGGAAAAGCCGGTGGAGCACTTCCTGCGCCTTTGCCAGGAGTCCTCGTTCAGCAGGAAACTGGACCTCTGGAACTTCCTGGATCTTCCTCGGAGCCGCTTGGTGAAATACCCCTTGCTGTTGAAAGAGATACAGAAGTGCACGCCTCCAGAGCACCCGGATGAGGACTCATTGCCTGATGCTGTGAGTTAGAGATACACAAATTCATGTCAATTTTTTCTAAAAGGATCTATATTGTCTATACTTTGGCTTTTAAGGCAAGATGTGTGCTGCTTTAAATATACCAGTGTTTTTTTTAAATTGGCTGAAATGTTGTTTTTACATACCCAAAAATACTCTTATTGCCTATTTCATTATATTCACAATTACTATAATAATAATAATAATAATAATAATAATACGTGTATTTATTATAGCACCTTTCACAGAAATACAATTCTCAAAGTGCTTCACACAGTCATACTCAAAAACAAAACACAGACCACGTAGAGTCCCGAAAGTAACAAACATAAAAACATAACACATCACACACATGTTCACACAAACAAAAGCCAAAGTAAAAAGATGGGTCTTCAGTTGTTTTTTTTAAAAGCTTCTCCAGAGACTGCGGAGCGGATGTCTATAGTGGTTAAAATGTCTGTATTAGTAGCACTTGACACAACATTTGTCTGGCTGACTGTGGACACACTTACACAAATTATTAAGACCTAAGACTGTAAATCATTCAATAAAAAAATATTATTTTGCATTTAGGATTTGTAACCTTTAGGTTTTTTCTCCTATAATGAAATCCATGAGACTGAAAATTGTGAAGTCCAGGCATTCGGCTTTAGCTCGTAGTTCCTTCATAATGTAAAACACTTTGCACATTGGCGCCTCCAAATGGTAGCAAAATATATTGTTTTCTGAAACATGACCTGAGGTGATCCTGTGATGTGACATAGTTCAAAAATAAAATGGTCTGTATCTGTATTTATTGAGGGATGATACGTTTAAAAATATGTTAAGGAGACAGTTTTTGATTGAATGCCTTTAGTATTATTCTGTGGACATTAAAGGCTCACAAACAGGATGTTACTATTGTAAACATATCTTCCTTTGCTGAAATATACATGGCTTAATCAAACCCAGATCTCAACTCAAAATGTACACCTTAAATACATTCATTTAAGACTATCTGTTGTGTTCAGTTGGACATAATCCAGAGCATCGTGGCTGAGGTCAACAAGAAGACCGGAGAGGCGGAGTGCCAGTTCTACAGGAGGGGTCTCGCATACATTGAAGACAGCCAGAGACTACAAGAGATTCAGCTGTCCCGCTTCCTCTACTGCCACGGAGAGCTCAAGAACAACAAGGGCCAGGTAGCACCTCTATTTATAGACCTTTGGTTATCCTGAGGTTGTTGTTTGCACCTAAACATAATTTACTCTGTATACAGACCTTTGCTTCTCTCTGCCTCACTTAAGGTTGTTATCTTTTGCCCTTAATACAAACCTTGTATACAAACCTTGTACCTTACCCTTTATTCTTGCACTGTGTATGATCTGCTTTTGTTACCTGGCCCAAGATATGACATTATATCTGATTAATAGATGCATTTTGACCTACATTTTGTTTATAGCTGTTCAAATATGGTAGTAAATATTTCCGTTAGGCCATACCTCTGACTTTGCATATGTGTGTCCTCTGTCAGCGGCTGCATGTATTCCTGTTTGAGCTGGCCCTGGTGCTATCAAGGCCGACGGAGGACAAAGATGGAGGTCAGGTGTTTCATGTCTACAGACAGCCTCTGCCCAATTACTTGATAAACCTGGAGGAGATCCCAGATGGGGAGCCTGGTGGAGGGGGGCCCTTCAGGGGAGCCTTTACTGGAGGAAATGACAAAGGTAACATACTTATAAGATAGATCAATATTTATATATTTATGGATTAAACTATACATGAAAAAAGGTCAGTTTCAAGTTCACATTCACAAAGTAACATTGAGTTTCTTTGTTCAAAACCCGCAGATATTAAATATATAAAGATATACCACAAAAGCATTAAGTGGCCTTTATTTAGAATCTATGACTAGCAAATAGTTGGTATCAGTGATGAATGACCAAAGTCAAAACGATTTTTGTTCTATTGATAGAATGATCAATTGTTTCAGCAATTATTTGAGCTGTTATTTTCATATTGATTATTATTATTGTTATTAATATATACGTTTTGCCATGTTTCTGGCAAAATGAGTATTACACATTCAATTTTGTCTACAACAAAGCCTATAGATACAGAGAAATCAATGCCACATTTCTTGAAGTGAAACCGACAAATGTACTTCCACTTAATTTACTCCCTCCTCTCCTCCGTCTCTCTATCTCCCAGTGAAGAACTGTTTCCGTGTGAGCAGCAGGGGGCGCTCCAAAGCTCACCCTTACAGCCTGCAGGCCAACGACTCCTTCAGCAAGCAGCAGTGGATCACCTGTCTGCGGCGGGCCATCGTCCAGTCCCGGGACAGGACCACTCTGAGCAACCAGTCACAGCTCTGCCTCCCCCCCGACCCCATCCTGTGTCACATAGCCGACCTCAGCCTCAGCTCGGACACAGACATGGCCGACCATAACAGTCGCTGAAGACCAGGAGGCCCGGGGAGTGTCTTTCTATCTGTACATTGACATTGGAGAGAATAAAATATGGACTGTTAGTGAAAGATCATTGTGCTTGGACAGACATATAGAATTTCCTGCATGGATTTTGTATTTTCTTGCATTTGCTGAAGTATTGTGTATTTGTGGTGATGATAACTGTACAGCTTGAGAACAGTATTTTCTGAATGTGAATTTACAGCGTAAAACTTTTCCATAGATTCTTTCTGTTTAATTTTTTACTAAATAAACTGACACTTGAATGTTTTTCTGAAGTACACATGGCAAAGTCTGCATACACTTATCTAAGTATAGCCAACAAGATCCACAAAGAAAAGATTAGTGATGATTATCCTCCCTCTCTTTCTCCCTCTTCCTTTCTCTCCCCCTCTCTCTCTGACACCGGTGACAGGGCAGGACAGAGGTAGACTTTCAGTTCTAGCCTTCAATACACAGTGAAACAGTAGCCGTGCCCTTATGCATTTTTAACAGCTCAGCAGGTGATGGGAACAGTTTGGTTGGGACAGTTTGTCCACAGATAGAGTGACCAAATAAACAGGTGAGTCAAAACAGCTTTTATGATTTTACTAATGCTGCCATGTTTGTCAGAAATGATTTTCACACTTACTTTGTTTACAAGATTGTACCATTTATCTACGCCTAACAACAATGACTTGGCTAGCTGCGACAGCGGATCAAAACATAACTTTGTTGTGAGATTCTGCATATTCTGTTTCATGTTGTATATTCTTAAGGTAATGTGCACTTGATGGGAGTTCTCTAGAATTGACCTCTCTTTGTAAAGATGTACCCTGAACCTGATATGTTTATATCTGGCTGCATTGAGGTGTCTGTCAGACCTTGACTTTCCTAGCTGTTCTTCAAGCTGTAAATACGAGAGGGAATTGCAAGATAGATCTATTCAAAACAAGGATTTACCTTTAAGGGATTCTCGTTCACAAATCAACCCTGTTCTTTTCCCCTCAGCTGTTAATGACACTCCTTGTCATTTCCCTGGAAAAAAAGAGGACTTTCTTATGAACTACAATCACAGTCTGCTCACCTTTAACACTGCCTGCGAATAAACAGAGGTGGTGAAAACCGCCTGGCGTTTTTCTTTTTGGGAAGCCCTTCTTTATGTCCTAGGAGACACAATACACGCTTCCAAAGTGTAGTAGTAAAATAGGATGCCCGGAGCTAGTGGTGTCAATGCTGAGGGGTCTTGTGAGGCCCTGTGTCGAACCCTTGTCTCCCAGAAGGGCCTGCAGCGAGAGACGGCTGACATCTCCCATTCTGTCCTCTACACCTCACTGATGGGCCTGCTTCTGGTCACCGACAATGAGGTGAGAAAAACACAACAAATCATAAACCCTTGATGTATGGTAAAACCTTTAAGTCTTGCACTTAAAGGTGGAATTCGGGACACTGGAGAAAAAAACATAAACAGATCGAGATTGTGAAAAAGAATTAATGGAGAGTACACGCTGACACACACGTGTTTAAGCAGCTGTCAGCACTCCTTGGTCTCTAATAGGATGAATGCTTCAGGCTGACCTCCTTTTAGCCTCTCTTGTTATGCTGTTGGGATAAGGAGGCTAAATCTGTCCTACCAATGTTGTACATTCACTGACACGGCAGGGTTAAGAGAGAGAAAAGTAGCATGGTTTACAGACACAGCCAGGGGTGAAATAACAGGACAAATATGCACCTGAACACACGTGTACAAAAATGTAAATAGGGTGTATACTTGATGACAAAGTTTGGGTCAATAGCTTCTTGTGTTGTCATTTTTTCCCAGAAAGAGAAGCTCACCGTAGGAAATGGAAGAGTTGGCCTTAAAAACATAGGAAATACAGTGAGTGCTTAGTAATGCATTGTAGCCTTAATTAAAGTCCTTTATGGCTAACTAATAATACATTTTGCCATAACAGGCTCACTTTCCCTTTTGCTTTGTCTTCAATTTAGTGCTTCCTGAACGCAGTAATCCAATGCTTGTCTCACACGCGTGGCCTTCGGGACTACAGCCTCCTCAAGTCCTACAGGGATGACAAGTTCTCCAAAGAGGAGACTAAACTCATGGAAGGTAGGTTCCTCTCTCCTGTCGTTGCCTCCTCTTCCTGCTATGTTTTCATTTGTACTCATTTGTTATTGCTCTTTGTCTCCCTGTGCCAGCCTTCTCTCAGGTGCTGTCAGGCCTTTGGGATGTAAATGAAGGGGACAGAGTCGTAAACCCACGACAGTTTTACAACATTTTTAAAGACGCGGTGCCTTACTTCAGTGGATACAGGTGAGATTAAAGATGATGTTTCTCTTTCCCTCAAGGTTGTCTTTCCATTAGACTTACATGCAATACAATATCCATGTGTGCATCAGCACAACTGTTTCAAGGACAAGACAAGAACAGTAAACCATTTCAATTCAATGTTTACTCTTCTACAATGTGTATAGATTGGATTTGAAGCAGAGTTCATATAGAAATAGCTTCCTTAATTAGTGACAATAAGGAGTATTTCCTCTGTGTTTAACCCAGTCAACAGGATGCACAGGAGTTCCTCAGGTTCCTATTGGACAAGCTGCACACAGAAATCAATCGCAGACCCTATGTTCGAAGAACAGGAAAGGAGCCTGAGCAAACATTTGCCAGATTTAGGTTTGTATAATTATGTGGGAAAGATTCTGTCCTTAAAACTTTGAAGTCTTCATGTGATCACATCTCTTTTTCACGCATGTCTTGTTAACCTTTAGGATTTCAGAAGAGGCCGCTGCCATGTGGAAGAAACACTTGGAGAGAGATGACAGCAGAATAGTAGGTAAGGAGAGCAATGCAGTCATCGTTGTCCATCAGAATACATTTAATTAAATTAAATTAAGGCAACCCTCTGGTAATTCCTCACCCCCCTCCTCATAGACCTGTTTTCGGGCCAGCTGAGGAGCTCGCTGCATTGCTCCGTGTGCTCCCATTCCTCCAACACATTCGACGTGTTCTGTGATCTGTCGCTGCCCATCCCCAAGAGGAGCTCCTCTGCGCAGGTCACACTGAGGGAGTGCCTGGAGCTCTTCTCTCAGGAGGAGAAACTGGACAAGGACAATTCCCCTGTAGGTTAACACAAAGTAATGGATTACAATTGATTGAAGTGTCTCACATTTCGGGGTGAAATGTCAATGAATAAGGCACTGTAACCTGGGAATGGTTTGTTCCAAAACTGGATTTGTGTCCATCTGTAGCCTACACCTTTTGTACTCTTATCTATATAAATCATTGTTCTTACTTTTATCCTTATTTATTTTTATTTATATGTGCACATGAAGCCAAAGAGCTTATGCTGTGTCAACGGAAAAACAAAGCAAACAAAAACGTACTAAGATGGGTAAAGGAAATATAAATGTGTGAACCCCGGTCAAATGGAAATATAAAACAAAAAAAGTACTGTAGAAATACAATTAAGTAATTTTTTATTTGATTTCAAACTGTTGCATGTCATGATATATTGATATTTAAAATGATTACAGTTAGATGATTTAAAAACCTTTTCAAAGACCAGAGTTTGAATGAAGGTTGAAGTATTAAAAAATACTTCAACTTTCTAAACAGATTGACAAAGTTAGGACTAACTAGTACTACCTGACCTATATTGCTTTACTTACCTCACTACTGTATCAATAAAAGAGTAATGCAAATAAGAAGTCAAATAACAGTACTGGGGGAAAAAAGAAAAAATACTTTCATCAATATTCCAGATAATTTTTATTAACTTTTTTAAACAAATAGCTTATGACAATGGACCTTGTGTATTTTGAAATGTTTTAAAATGTTGAGGTGTTTGTTTTTGTGATTTCAGATGTGTGAAAGGTGTAACAGGCACACTGAGTGCACCAAGCAGCTTTCCATCCAGAGGTTTCCGCAGGTTATTGTGATACGTATCCTTGACCACAGCTCTTACTCAGTGTATTAAGCTTGTTATAAGCAAGTGATGATTTAGTACATGACTTTATGATGGTACTTAACAGTCTCGATCAGATCTGAACCGTTTCACCACATCTCGCTGGTCTATCAGTAAAAGCACAGTGTATGTGTCCTTCCCTCTCACTAACCTGGACCTCGGACGCTACGGGCCTGTCGACTGTGGTAACCAAACAAAACCTTTCTTTAGTTAATGTCTAATGTATTCAACCATATTAATTACTTCCTTTTACATGCAATCATGAATGTTACTGTTAAATGGTAATAAGGACATAATCAGCATGTATTCAACATCTTATCCAGTCATCCTGTGTTACTCTTTGTTTGATAATTAAGTTCTAGACTATTTGTAACAATAAGTAGACGTTTTCATTGTTTACATAATTGAAATTGATCAGTTCTCATAAATGGAATAGATAAGTCATATTATCTCTGTATGTCCCCACAGGTCCAGTTCTGTATGATTTATATGCAATATGTAACCATGCTGGCACAGTGAACATGGGCCACTACACAGCCTGCTGTTCGGATGAAAATGGTTGGTGCTTCTACAACGACTCCAGGTGAGAAACGTCCTGCACACAAATAATTTTGTTTTATAATGCCCTGCAAACAGCATTGTCTATATGTACAAGAGCCTGCTGTGTCAGTAGGTCATCTGTATTGAGACATCTCAAGTGCTAGTAGAAGTACTGGGATGTTTTACTTATTGTCATACAAATAAAGAACCACAAGTAAATATATTTGTCATGCATATTGGCCCTTTTAAAAATCATACATTAAGTTACTTGATTAAGTATATTATTGCATTAATCAGTTCATCTCAGCTGGTAAAGGTGGAGCTAATTTTAATTGTGTATATACTGCTGCTGGGTACATGTTTATTTATTAGTTGATTTGTATTTTGTATTGGCTAATTATGTGTATCTGTAAGGTAACTAGTACCTGAAGCTGTGAGAAAAATGTCCAAAAGGTACATTATTGTCCTACAAAATGTAGTGATATAAAGTAGCATACAATGAAAATATTTAGGTAAAGTACAAATACCCTCAAATCGTACTTAAATAAAGTAAATTAACTTCATTGCATTACACTACCGTTTACTAATATAAACCTGGAACTGTTTCTCATGATTTATTTCCATCTTCCCAACTACAGTGTTACTCCAGTCTCAGAGAACCAGCTTCAGACCAATCAAGCCTATGTGCTGTTCTACCAGCGCAGCAACAGTACCACCATCAGGAAATAGACCCGACACTGGCTGAGCCAAGCAGCCAATCAGAGCAACCTCCA